TCCTTCTCTTCTGTCCGCGGAGGTGTATGCTGGAGCCCTGACCGAGATTTATCGTTTTGACGACGATAAGATACCATCGTGAACGAAGGAGACTCAAGACGCGTAATAACAGTCGCTAGTCGCACTCCTTTGTTCGAAGTTCCAGCGTCGGTATCGTATATATTTTTGCGGGTTCCAGTGTGAAGTGCGAGTACATAAGCAGCCAGTACATGCTTCATTCGGCGTTGCGCTTTAGTCGATCCACTTTCATAGCTGTAGTACCACATGGGGTTGCTGCAGTTGTTTAGCTCATACAAAATAGTATTCTATAATAACAAATCACAGTCAGCAAAATGTACACAATTTTTCTCATTAATATACGGGGAAAAAACAGCAAAACGCACCTTGGGAACCTGACGTTGGTATTCAGTATTAGCCTTTTCAGCTCGCAGCCAGTCGCTCTCCGTTGCGGTTAGCTCAGATGCTGTGATTGCATGGGCAGGAAGAGCCACCGTGGCTTCTGGTGACATTGCGGTAGCGACATCTCCTGCGCCAGCGATGGCGGATGTTGTGGTTGACTCAAAGCGTGCACACACTACCAAGTCACGATTTCGATCGGCGGCTGCAGCAGCGTCTTCAGACTCGAAAGTGATCAATATGTGTAGAGAGCAACCACAGTAGCTGCGGGGAATGTGGCTCGGACAACAATGTGGGAAACAGCGTAGCAACTGGAGTAACGTTGAGCATTCACGAGATGATATCGACGTTAATGACGGTGAGACGGCATCTACACATGAAGAAACAAAGTATCACAGCGCCGCACAACGCACCTTTGCATTACGTTTTTTGTTGCTTCTGTTCGTCGCATCCGGGAAACAAAGTAAATGCACCAGCACAGTCGTTAGAACATGACAGTGGCGGCGATTTGCCTTGCTAACTACTTATCGGGCGAATTGTACGTGTGCGTACCGGGTGTAGGTAGGAGCAAATAGAACGTGCTCGCTACAGCCGAAGCGGAGGAAGGCACAGGAAGCTATTCGTACATTAGAGCTTGCCATCTTCGTATTCTCCGATACGCAACTGAGAGTGTGTAGCGTCTGGGCTACCGACCACCGAGGCTGTCCCTTCAAACGATTTTTATGTGCGCTTCCCTTGTATCTTTGTCGGAACTTCGAGGGACTTTCCGTTAAGATTTGACGTTTTGAGTCAACATTTCAAGTTAATCTGGCTGTCGCTCAGTTGTCCATCAGCTGCTTGTACATGAACATGTTGGTCAACCGCGGTTTGCGCATTTCGAGCATGATACAGCGCTAATTTACTGTGCTTGATTCGGGTCCAGAATTTGTGCAGCTGAACGAGCGACACACTGTTCGTGTTCTACATGTATTCTAATTCCAATTAAACGCAGATCAAGTGGTCGCCATTTTTGTGATGCGTAGGCTGTGAAACGCACAGCACGACAGGAAATTTGCAGGTTGTTGCTCTATATTGTACAACCACTCGACCAGAAACACCAGAAAGCGGGTGATATCTCAGGATCTTAAGGATGGATAATAAACACAGTGTTTAAAACACTCGACTGGGTATAGCTGGTTCCTATAATAATTGGGAAATGCATATCATTTCGCGCTCATTTACGACAAGAATCAGGTGTGTGGTTGTGTTTCAAGCAATTGTATCTTTATTACAGAACAGCTGTGATTTTAGAGCTGTTTCGTTATTAAAAGCCTTTTATGTCCTAAGTAATATGCCAGTTGCATGAACTCGACCAGTCACGTGCCACTAGTTTTAGCTTCCGGGTTCTGTTAGTTCTCGGTTTTTATTGGCTATTCAATTGTGGCAAAACAATTTGAACTAGATAAGGCTAAATGGCTTTGCTTTCTTTCAAATTTCTTTATAAAAAGCGACAGAAAACTGGTCTCCCGATAAAATGAGGCATCTGAGCCCCAACTTTATGCAGCAATAACAGTGTTCCGTGCGTCAAATTGTCCCAAAAGAGTGCTTTTCATAAGCGATTTTATCGCTGAAAATTGAAAGTGAGAAGTAGCACTTCGTTCTGCTTGTTCGATTTTTGTAGGGTTAGGTTGTATTAGGTTGTAGATTGTGGTAGACAGTAGCGTACACTAAACTGGGCGAAGGGAGGTACGTTTTCTACTCAGACCAGTCTCGAAGTGGATACATTTCGCACCAATGCAATCCGCTACTTGCGTGCAAAGGAAAATAAAAGCAATTCATTATCGAATCATCCCCGAAGCGCTCTGCTGCACCAGTGCGACGACCTGGAATCGCATGTGCGACGGCTGCATTAAATAAATTACGCTTTTGAATGAAATTTATTAATACGTTTGCTTACTTAATTGTTTTTGTTTTTTGAGAGAATGAATATTTCAGAGCTTCTAAACGAGGAAACTGATGCCCAGCGCACTTGCAACGTATGCCACTACGTGTTCTCTCGCTCGTGTCACTTACGACGCCACCAGCAAGGATCATGTAGAGGAACATCCGCTGGGCTGAGGCAACTATGCCCAGTGTGTTGGCAGTGGGTCTGCCGGAATCGGCACCACCTCACGCGTCATCAGCGATCTTCGCGTTGCCGGACGCATGCAGATCGAATCGAGCATCGAAATCAGATAAATCAGGTGCGCCGGGAGAGAGATGCGGCATGGCATCGCAAAATGCGCAACGGTCCTGAGCGTGATGGATTGGTTGAAGATCAGAACAGAGCGAAGAGCCAGGACAAGGTGAACAGTCAGGTCAAGTTGAAGAGCAAGGACAAGTTGAAGAGACAGGACAGGGTGATGAGACATGATGTGGTGGTGAACCAGGACATGTCGAAAATCGAGAACAGTTGGGTCAGGGTGATGAGCCAGGACAAGTTGAAGAGCCAGAACTGTTGGAGCAACTGCTACAAGTCAGTGATGACGATGCACCTGCACATGCTCTGGTCGACAGCGAAATCATTCGCGACCATGATCAGGATCCATGGGTGTTTCTCGTGGAGTACGCTGATTTTCAATGGGACTTTCAATGGGACGATTTGGACTTGGGAGGCGAGAATGATATTGAAGAAGCGCCAGCTGTCGAAACTGCTGTTGAGGACACGTCGAGAAGCGATGCAGCGGACGACACGACCATGCCGAATCGACACCCACGAGAGGGGTGACTGAATGTCGTATTTGTCTATGCCCATTTGATGACGAAGATACCGACATATGGGTAAGCGGAAGTGACCGCTGTAGACAGCCGTACCACCGAGCGTGCATAATCGAAAGCATGGAGCACGACCCAAGATGCGGAAACTGTCGGACGCTTATCGAGCTCGATGTTGAAGACGGAGAGGCGATCATCGTTAAGCACGTTCCACCTCCCCCGAATTGCCGCGTCTGCGGTGATGCAATCACCGGTATTGTTTTGGAAGGCCCTCAGTGTGATCACCAGTTTGATTATCGTTGTCTCGTGGACTAAAATGCACAGTTCTACGGTTTGACAGCCTTGGGTGAAATCAAGTGTATTGTGTGCGAGTTTCCATTACCCGTTGATGATTTCTACGACAGTGAAAGTGGAGACAATAGCGGAGACGATGTGATCGTCGACAATGCGTTCGAGAACGAAGGGGATGAGCACAAAGGGGGTCAGCAAGATCTTGAGGAAAACAGTCCAGATCACAGCGCGAAAGAAGTGGTGGTCATGATCAGCGATGGTGAGTACCACGAGAGCGATTTCAACAGCGAGGAGAAAGATGCATAAACGAGTAATATACATGTTTTGGATGAAACTGATTGTAGCTTTAATTTGTGTATCGTCACATAAATATTGAGTATTCGGGGGATACAACAGAGACATGACACATAGTACAATTGGGGTCGGCACAAAGTACAATTGGGGTGGAGTGCGGTATCGAGTACTCGTAAAGTATAATTGGTGACGAGTACATTTGGGGCGACTTAACTTACAGTTTGAGTACAATAGGACAGACTTAGAGTACGGTTGGGACCGACAAGAGTACAAATCAGAACGATAGTACAGTTGGGAACGACCTTCAGTACATTTGGGGAGGACGTAAAGTACACTTGGGGGCGACCTCCGTTTTTCGGGAGCAAACATAAATCTGTATGGCGCCCCTCCTCTCCGAAAGCAATGTGATGTAAACCATATATCGTCTCCCAGCACGTTTCTGCTTATCCCTGCTGCCTCGGCGACTATGTTGAGCACCTGAGTAATACTGTTGCCCGCCATATGAGCCCCCCCCCTTTATTCCAACCTTACGGAAGGAACTTGTCGTTGCAGTTGCTTCCTCGCCGCTTTTTCGCTTTCCTGATCATCGCGGGATTTTTGTCAGGCCCGGGAATGCGTAGTCACTATCACACCAATTGTGGTGTAGAGAAACACTCGCGTGGTCGAACCAACAGTGAAGCGAATACGTCCGACTTGCCAGAGGGTCGTGATCTGACTTCCTGTTGCGTATCGTAAAACAGCCAAATCTGATCAGAGTGCCATCCTTACGCGACTTGCGTTGAAGCCCCAATTGAATGTCGCCCTTCTTCATCAGGAGTACTTCGTTGATTCGACACATTCCATAAAAGCACAGTGAGGACACAGCGGAAACCCATAAGCGCATCGTCTTGTTGAACATGGTGTCATCTTGCAGAAACGCTATCAATTTGGACAGCATCGATAACGACATCGGGGAAGCCCGCTTGGGAGTCCTCTCAAGCCTAATTGCTTTACTTAGGCCTGCCAAAATCTGTGTGATGGCGGCCGACCGTACAGGATTACCACAAGGAACGACGTGTCCATCTGCCGTCGTTTCTACGACCCAGCGATCGTGAGGGTGCCCACCGACAAGCATTTCTGGTCTGGTGTAGTGCCATGAAAGAGCGGCTCGAAGCTTTTTTGCAGGCCACTGGCTGGAGTTTGTCGTGGCAAGGCGATTAATATATGCGGCAATAACACCTGGAAGCTCAACGAAGCGCTGCTGGATGGGGTAGGGATATCCTTCTTGCTTGCAGAACTCAACAAAGCGGCGCAAATTTCCAGTATAATCGACTCTTGTGCGGGCTTCAAGGCGCTGGTCAGCAAATTTTGCAGCGTGGGTTTCATTGTACAGACGACTCGTAGCCGGAAGGTCCATTCCTGCGAGCTAAGCCCTGTGTCCGGAAAAAAGGAATATGAGTAGTGAAATGAGGACTGTTGGCTGTCTGTCGATGTCGCTGTCGATCCCATTTGTACTGTCGTCCCCAACTATACTTTCGTCCCCAAGTGTACTTTTGGCATGCGCAATGTGAGTCGTTTCACAGGAATGATGACGTTTGTGTCTCAACGTAGAATTAACAACACATGACCACTATTTTCAAAAATATTTTTAGCTTATCAGATTGTGTCGCACTGTCATTTATTTTGCTCGCACCCGTGGGAGAAGTGTACTTTCGATCTCGAGTATGCACGTGCAGAATTTGCTATCTACTTCTGGAATAACTACACTGCGTACGGACCAAGGGGCATACTCAATGTTGATGAAACTGGCATCAGCTTTGACATGCCCCCAGCACAAATGTTGGCTGGGCGTGGGCGAAAGGATGCAGCCGTAATTGTAAAAACATCGAAGCAATGTGGTAGGATGACGGCCTTGCTTACAATTTGTGCTGACAGTGAGTTACGGTTTATCTTGTGAGTTTTATTCGATTTGTTGTATTAATTGAGTCTTTGATTGTAATCAATAGGTATAAAGCTGGGAATTCTTTATATTGTGCGTGGTAAAGTCGGCGGTCGTATAGAAGCTAATCAGTTTGATAAATATCCCGAAGGACACTTTTATACTGTGCAAGAAAGCGACTGGATGGACGCTGTTTCATGGCAGTTCTACGTGGACAAGCTCTTGGAGTACGAGATGGACGAGCCCTCTGTCCTTCTTCCCGACAACTTCGAATGCCACGTCTCTGCAGCTGGGCAGAGGCCTGTGGCGGAAATCGCGAGCGCTACGGTGGTCCCATTGCCGGCCAATTGCACAGCAGTATGCCAACCGCTGGACGTTGGGGTGATGGGGCCTCTGAAGACAAAAATGCGGGGTAACAGGTCCGGTATCATCAGCGGAAGTGCTAAGGCGAAACGGCCGAGAGTGGTAAGTGCAGCAATGGCTCCTGGGAAGCTATTCCGGAGTGGACAGCAATTCGTAGCTTCCAAAAGGCCATTCCTTTCAATCCAGAGATAAACATTTGAACAAAAGTTTTGTTTTTGCAAAACATCCGGGTTTTGACAGTTTTTCTCAATGCAAAGTTTTAACCAATGAAATCGTACGAATTAAACGATGCCGGCTTTTCCGTCCCGTTGTTTAGTATCGAGAATACTATTCAGCGGTGTCGTGTTTTTCCGTCGTTGTCTGTAACGGATTCCATGCATTTCCTGCAACCACGGAATTCGTGCAACCAGTGTAATTACTCTTAGCATCAAATCTCACAAATAGTTCAATCGTATCGCTCTGATCTATATTTTGTGCAACCCTGTCCATATTATGTAATGTTTACATCTAAGATTAGCCAATGAAACACTGTTAATAATCCTCTGTACACTTTTTACGGCTGTAAACCTTATAGATTCACTATAGACGGAGTTCTTACATCGGTTGCAGGAAATGCATGGAATCCGGTAATGTGTAGCGCAGGTTATGTTAGTAAAGTAGATGTGTGCTCCGAAGGTTGAAACAGTGAACATTGAATGTGCTCCGAAGGTCGGAGCAGTAAAAGCAATTCGTTCCAGACAGAAATCATTCCATCGGACGCTTGCGGTCCCACTAGCACAGCGCTCCGCCTCTCACCCCGACCTCGACCATGCCCGGTCTCAGTGCCTCCGAGCTATATCCTACATGCTATATCCTACATGGCTGTGCGCTGGTGACACGATCGAGTAATTCTCGGGGGCTTCGTTGGAGGCGACCCGCGTGGCCATCACTCTGCAGTCGTCCTTCACGTCCACAACGATATGGGGGCAAACTACCCCATTGATGTGGACACAAAGGAACTTGTGCCACGCGACATGATGATGAGGTTGACGGTAGACCGGTACGGTAACCGGTTCAAGCCTGTCTACGTCATTTGGCGGAAGTTACGCACGTATACATTGGTTCCACAGCAATGTAACGCCCCGACCAGATCCAGTATTTTACATACAGCGATTACCAAGGCATTTAATGAAGCCTTCGCATCAACAATGCGACAGCAAAGAGGTCGAAGTGAGAAATTGCGGAGAGGTTGATAATGTTGCAAATACAAAACTCGTGTGGAGGTACTGGCCGCCGCCCAGCACCGCTAGAGAGGCCGAGACTGAGCTGGATAGCGATGAAAGGTTCCAGATATCAAAGCGACATTTGCAGAAGTCCAAAGATGATATGGTTACGTGTCTCAACCAACTACCGTAGATTACGTGGCCCCAGCTGAGAACGAGATGAGGCCCAGCACGGAAAGCGTCGCTGGGAATCCCTGCGACGATGATACCAGATCAACAGAAGATGACAATGGTGATACAAGTACTGAGACCACGCATCCCAATCCAGATCCTCCCAGTACGGCCTCCACCGACCAAGAGGTAATGGGAGCTGGTGAAGACATTCGTTCAATTCCTTCACGACTCGAAGGAGTCCAAATTGGGCACCAGGCAAAGAAGGAGGGTTGGAGCGGTGTTGACACGTCTCTCGCTCGAGAAAGCAGCGCCATCAATCAAAGTTCGCGATCATGCACAGTGGCAACCAGGACTTCTTTTTAACACGTCACGACAGTATTAGATTTCTTAAGGGTTCCTGCACCCTGAAACTAAGCTATACGATATGCTAGCGATACGGATAATGCCTTTTCCTAAATTGTTTACACATTCGTTACGAGGAAAAAAACAAAATGACATTTTCGCGTATATAAAAGCTGGGTTGTAAATGTATTATACGGATTATTCAAATTTACGTCCATGTAACAAGTTAAGCACGATGCAAGAAGGTCTTAAGCAAAGCACACCATTCCAATCGGAACCTATTAAATGCTCATGCATCCCTCGGCATCCATATCTCCCTTATTTCCAGTCACATTGATGCTGGATCACTCGTAACTGAGCACAGGACCCACGGTTCTCGGTCTTTCTCCAGCACCTTCAGTCGCAGATTCTGAACGCTTAAGTTTAGCCCTGCTCACTAACACCTCCGTCTCGTGTATTTCTACGTGAGGGTTACTTGGACTGCGTACATAACGTGTACAAACGTACCGAAAACGAAACAATAGTTGCACGGTCATCATTGACTCACAACGTCTATTTGCCAGCCGCCCAATGTCTGATAAAAAACCTTCATCCTTGCATAGTTGGCACCCATCTGGGCTGAGACTGCTATGCCTTCCTCACGCCTCCTATTGGGAGCGACCGCAATTTGAGGTGCTTGTACCGCTTTGACGCGCACAACGGTTTGTCCTCCAGTACACCCAAGATCTAACGTATCACCTCCACCCATGCCAAATCATTTTCTCCAACCAGCTCACTGACCCAGCGTGTTAGTGGTACTGACACAGCCAATCCAAACTAAAAGAAGCGGGAACTGAGCGACCGGCCTTCGACACAGTGCTAAACACGCGCAAAAGTGTTCCCATCTTGAGCCTGTGTCTTAGCGAGTAGTCCCGCTTTTGAATAGCATTGAAATTTTCCGTGGGGTTGTTAGTGGTAACATAAACCTACTCGAAGCGGCAAAAGCCTGTCACATGCTGAAAAATCCGGTGAGCCATTTAGCGGCCATGTACTTTTCAAAGGCAAAAAGTCGGAAATCCTTCTCCCACGCCGATAATATCGACTTCCTCATTTCCAAATATTCATTTAGGCTGCGGAGGAAGTGTAAAGCGTACACGTCTTGTAGAACGTTAGAGGGTAGAAGCGAGGGAAAGGCCTTAATTGCCATATATACCTTTCCCAAAACGTGGAGAATGCACATTAGAAAT